GGGGTTAGTTGGGTTGGCCTTGATGGTTAGGAGGGGGTTGGGGTTTGGGGGGGGGTGGGGGGGGGGGTGAGTGGGGGGGTTAGGAAAGCAAAAAAAAAAAAAATTATGACCGAACCGGAGGCCCGGCCGGGCCCGGCCCGGACCCGGTGGCTACCCGGGCTGGTCCCGGGCCTTCCTTCCCAAAAAAAAGCCCGGCCCGGCCCGGAACCGGAACCGGCCCGGCCCGGGTCCATGACTACCCCACACCATCGACATCTCCAACTTGCAACTTCTCAGACCTTTCATTGCAATCCTTTCGTCACCTCATGCGCCGAGCCGCCGATGATGTTTTCCTTCACCGCTGATGCGCGCAACTTCCTTGGTCGGTGACATTTTCCTTCAACGTCGGTGCACACAGCTTCCTTGGCCGGCGTCCATCTCCCAACCCAGGACACCCTCAATCTCCAGGTGGCGGCTGAGCCCAATCGATCGACGAGGATTGTAGACGGCAGAGATCTCAGGCTAGTGATGAACTTAGGCACCTTCCTCAAGGTTGGAGATCAGTGGCGTATCCATAAACTTTTGTGAGTGGGGGCGAACTCGCACAAAAAATTTATTATTTCGGAAATGTCACAAACAATAAAACAGATTAAAAATATTGTAAAATTAATTATAAATAACAAAATATTTGTTCGAAAAATAAATTATGATAATGCTTTATAAATTATTTACCTGCAACAAACAAGCCATAAAATTTTATTTATTTGAAATTATGTTAACATATCAATGAATCAGATAAGAAAGGGATGTATTTAGAATTAATTTAAGTTTGGGATATACAAGTATATGTAGAAAATAGTTATATTAATTGCAAAAATGTCACTATTAAACTTTACAAATGTATGTGAAATTAAAATTGTAACTATATTAAGGTATTTTAAATCTTTCAAATCAGAATAAAAAATAAAGCAATGATGCACCACTTAAAATTCATTGTAACTGCTCAAGCTTAAAAAATGGGCAAAATGAAAAATCTAAACGGGGTTTGATCCCTTGACCAAGGAAGAATGGATGACCGAATGCTCTTTTGTAAACAAACACTATCATTAATGTATAAGATCTTTATACTAATCACAAAAATATATAATTGTATATTAAATTAAATATATATAGGGGTTGGGTGGGGTTGAGTGGGGGCAGCTGCCCCCCCTGCCCCCACGTTGGATCCGCCACTGTTGGAGATGATATCCAAGCAACGAGATAAGGCTTCCGAGTAGGCACCAAACCTTCCAGATCCATATCGACATTCCTAAGGTCCGTCCGATTCATCCCAGGTCCTCGCCATGTCTTCCTCCATACTCGACAGATGAGGTGAAGTAGATGGGTTTCTATGTGAAGGCAGCGTGAGTCGGGGTTTAGCGACGACGGTGGCTAGGTTAACATACGGTCTAAGGCTTGAATTTGGGGCCTGAGTTGGGCTCGTTGGAGCTGGGGTTGAGTAGGGTGGCTGGGGGCAGGTCAAGATAAGGAGATGGGGGATGGGGTTCTGGGGCATGGGGATGTGGAGTGGCTGATGGAGTGGCCATGGCGATGCTGATAAGCGGTGGTGTCGGTGGGCGGCGGATGTTTGTGGGGGGATTTGGTTGAAAATGAATCGGACTGAGGTCACTGTGAACGAGTAGTCATTGTTAATCGTGAATGTCACTGTTTTGTCGGAAAAAGTCACCGGAAAATTATCCGACGATCACTGTGATACTGACGATGGCGGAGATGTCACTGCGGAGGTGTAACTGTGGTCGGCGGCGGCGGTGACCAACGGCAGAAATATCACTGCGGAAATGTCATTGTGGCTAAAGGTTGGAGCGGAGATGTCACTATGGAGATTAGCCGTGAAAATGTCACTACAGAAATGTCACTACGGATATGTCATTGTGCATTAGTCACATATTTGTCCAAATGTAAATATGGTCGCTTTTTTGGAAATTAGCTTTAATTAAGTAATATTAAGGGAATAACCCCATAAAACATAGGCAAAATCCTAAAATAGGAGTACCATGTTTTGAATAAGAATAATTTTAGTGTTTGGTCAAATATATCTCTTCCCAAGTCCCAACCATTACCAGTCTACCACTTTAAGTAATAAATAAAACATAAAAGAATAACATTAATTTATATAATAAAAATGTAAAAAAATTAAAGAACACAAAAAAAATATATTATATTAAAAATACTCCGTATTAAATAAAATAAAGAAAAAAAGTAAAAAAAATATTAATAAAAACTACAAAATTAAAATAAAAAATAAAATAAAAATATAAAATATATAAAAAATATGCTGGCCTCTGCTGCCGCCTGCCGCCTCAACAACCTCCCAACATGACCAGCTTTGACCATTGGAAAAAATACCAACATTTTTCAGAAATGCCATCTCGATGAAAGTTTTTGAGAAAATGTGGCATTTTCAAAGAGTAAAAATGCCAATTTTATGGCATTTAAAAATGGTAGTTTTTACATAAAATGACATTTTTCCGCCGATCGGAGGTGGCAAGTCTGGGCGGTGGCCGAGGTTGCGAGAAAGGCCTCCATAATATTTTTAATAGTTTTTAATGTGTTTTCTCTATTTTTTTAGTTTTTTAAATATTATTTTATTTTATTTTAATTATTTTAATATTTTTTTAAAATATGTTAGTTTTTTATTTTTATTTTAATAGGATCAAATAAGTCCTATTTTGGGATTAATTATATTAGTGGTATTAAGAGTAGAAAATTAACGTTTACTTCTATTGAAGGAACTTTTAAATTTTACTCTTATTTGTGCAATTATATTTATGTTTAGTCCTATATTGGACAGTTTCTATATGAAATTTCAAAACGTTCTTTCTTCTATTAAAAAAATCACGTTAATATGTATATATTAGAGAAAATGAAACTAATAATCCAACTTTTTGGTGATCTTCTTACAATAATTCCACGTTATTGTAATTTAGAAATAATCCAACCTTTGAGCCTCATCTTCATTCGCTAGTCTCTCACCAGTTGATGACCTGCTATTCCAGGTTTTTTCATTTTCCTTGCAAATCATTTAACCATAAATCCTACCTTCTACAAATCTTCTCGACACTGTCACACATATGATTTTTATTTTTTCTTCCTAAAATTTTTCTTTTCTTTTTATGTATTCTTATTCGTTGTAGTCTCTTTTTGTAATTTTTTCTGGGTTGCTTGTTTGCATTTTTTCTTTGAATTTTTTAGAAAAGCGAAAAATATAGGGGACATTCCTCAAATTGTATTTAATGAAACTTTAATTGCAAGAATATGAGTATAATTTCAAAATTCCTTAAATAGGACTAGCTTTCCAATTATATCCTTGCTTTGTTTAGTGCAATTTATATTTCATTAATAATCAAAACATAAAAGTAATAACATAACCTTACTTATAATAAAAATGTACAAAAATAAAAAACATAAATGGATACTTAATAAAATTAATAAAACTAGAACATTATAAAAATGAAAGTTATAAAATTAAAAACTCAAAAACATAAAATAAAAAAAAGGAAAAAAAAATATGCAGGCATATGCTGCCGCTTTAACAATCTCCCAATACTACCAGTTTCGACCACTGGAAAAAATGCCACATGTGTCAGTAATGCCATTTTGATGATAATTTTTTATAAATTTTTAGTATTTTCAAAGAGTAAAAATGTCATATTCATGGCATTTTTCTGAGAAACAATTGCAGCGTTTACACAAAATGACATTTTTTTCACTGATCAGAGTTGGCATTGCTAGGAGGTTGCAAGGCTGCGGGAAAGGCGTCCAATTTTTTTAATATTGTTAATGTGTTTTATCTATTTTATTTACTTATAAAGTTTTCTTTAAATTATTTTTTATTACGGTTTACTATTATGTTTATTTTATAAAAAACAAGTTTAACTCTTTTTAATTTTTTTAATATATTTTTATAAATTGAAATACTTTTTATTATTTATCTTTTTGTATTATAATGTAAAATATGACTATCCTATTAAGTTATGTAAGGGTAGAAATGTAGAATGAGAAGATAGACTGTACTTTAGTCCAATTTTGGGAAGATAAATAACGTAGTCCTATCATTGCATTTGGGTTAGTTTAGTCCCATTTTGGAGCTATTTTCTTAAAAATATATTAGTGGTGCAATGAAGGTAAGAAACGGAAAAATGAAATAAATAAGTGTAAGTTAAAAGAAAGTAAAGTAAAAATTTAGTACAGTGAGAAAAAAAACTTTTATAAGAAGAATACTTATCTGAAAAAAACGAAAAATGAAATAATAAACGGGAAGAAGAAAAAAAAAAGAAAAAAATGAAATACATAAACAATACTTCATACAAAAATTGAAAAGAAAAAAAAATAAGAATAAGAAGACAAAAAAGGGGAATAAAAGAGTCAAGACTATAAAAGTGGAAAAGGGAAAAGTTATAGGGAGAAAAAAGATATGAATAAATGATATGTGGGGCCACTTGGAGAAGATTTGTGAAAAGTGTGATTTATGGTTGAATGATTTGCAGAGAAAATGAAAAAACCTGAAATAGCAGGTCATCAACAGGTCAAACACCGACGAATGAAGATGAGTGCAAATGTTGGATTATTCCTGAATTACGATAAAGTGGACTATTGTAAAAAACTGCTAACAAGTTGGATTTTAATTTATATTTTCCGTATATATTATGCGTATAAAATATGTATATATGCCAATTTTTTAGTATACCGAGTTACGATAAAAAAAAGTATACTGAGTTGATTCACTTAGTTGGGTGAGTTTTGTTTGAGTATACAAAATGTGTACACAAAATGTGTAAACAAAATGTGTACACATGTCTATCCTTCATAGAAATTTTGTCTTTACAGACAAAATTTCTATGAAAGACAGACATGTGTACACATTTTGTGTACCATTTTTCTAGTTGGGTTGACTGGTGACCCAATAGGACTGAGTCAGTTTCCTATCTGATTTTTCCAACAAGCCCCAAACGAGGAGCCTAATTTCCTGCATATCATAATCGTAACTGTCCAGCACCCGGAACTAACTTCAGCTCTAGTCTCCCCATAGCATCGATGTTTACTCGCTGCTGACTCAGATCGGATCCATAGAATACCAACAGGTTGGCATCTGACCGTCCGCACTCTGATCACCGTGTCTAAACGAGCCATACAGGTTCTGAATTGCTGTTCTCTGGAATTTGGAAATGGACAGCGTCTTGCCATCAACGATGTCTTCCAAACCGGACAGGCGGTTGAAATTGAAGTCGAACCAAACCTCTAAACCGTCTCTTATCATGGCACTAATATCTTGCTTCGCCTGGCTCTATGTTGCCGGACGGTTCGTTAATTCTGATCTTAATTAATTATAATTTTGATTGACTAATTTATTTATTTGCGAAACTATTACTGTTTTGTCTTATGTTCTCAATTAATTGTCAAAACTTGATTCTGGGAGATGTTTTCCGGTTTAATTTTCTCATATAAACAGTGCATCACCACAAGTTTTTATAACCTTATAATTTTTATTTTTTATTTTCAAAATAGGTTGTGGCAAGACGCAGAGAATAGAACGTTATTGACTAATTTATTGAAAAAGAACTCAGAGCAGGTATATAGCTTATCTGTTTTAGTTATTTCTTGTTTTCTAGTATTTGGTGTTGCATTTAATGCCTGGTGAGTGGTGTCACTGTAGCCAGAGTGGTTTTGAGTGTTAATAGGTCAGGTCAGGCTTTCTTTATGGAAGCATGAGCCTGCACCTATTGTTATTTAATTTATCTGCACCATTGTTCATCAGCCATGTATTCTTATTGTTAACTTTGACAAGTTTGACCGGCATAAAGAATATTAAAATAAAAATTGTTTGGTTTAGATTTCTTCAGGGGAGAGAGAAGTAATAAGATCACAAAATAATTGATTAAAACTTAAAAGGAAAAGTGTCAACATTTTTGGAACAACTAGAAACACAAAGATGACAAAGTTATAAGGGAAGGAGAGAGTGCCATTTTCCCCAAAATTACTAGATCTTATGATTGCCACCAGTCATTTTCTTTTTTTTTTCATTATTTTGTATTTTACTGTAGATCTTGTATTTTGGCCCGTGTGGCAAAAAGTACACATATACCCTTGCTATTTAGATCGCTTTTTACATTCCATTTGAAGAGGGCTTGTGATGAACAAAAGTAACTACTAATTGATAGCTCAAGGACTACTGGTGCACATTAAAGAACTAAGGAGGAAAAGCACAATTAAGCCACAACTTGGTTACTTGACGTAGGAAATCGTTATTTCCTAAGAAGTTATTACATTCTAGGTGATCTGTAGTTGACCATATAAACAGTTATTACATTCTAGGTGATCTGTAGTTGACCATATAAACATTTCATTAAGTAGAATACCACTGACATGGCACAGTGCTTCTTGGAGTCTTGGAGAGTTTCCTTGTTCAAAATGAGAACAGAAACTGTTGTATTTGGCATTTCGCAACTGTAAGAAAGAATTTGCTCCCTTTTATTACATTGTACAATGAAATTGAGTACACCGATAAATCATATTGAGTTACTTATGTGAAGTATTTGTTTAATAATTACCAAACGTTGTGCAGTAACACATTGTTTAAGATTGTTATTTACCTGTTACTGATTTAGAACTATACTCAACCTATGTTTTAGATAAGTTAAATGTTAACCATTTCAAAATAATTAATTTGGAGGATTGCTATCATCCCCAACTTGTTAAGGATAAAGTTAGCTCTGTCTAGAGGGTTTCTATCATTTAGGTGCATCGTTTAAATTGTGGCAGACACTGATTTTGGGCCTGACCTTTTTATTTTTGTGATATGTAAGTTGGGTCCATATAATCTAAGCCTGAATTGATGACAGAGACCAAAAGTGCTGACTGTTGAAGACAAGCTAATGGTTTTAGGATGCAAGTAATTTTCTATGACCCCTTTACATGTTGAGACATACTTGGAATTGAGGTCATTTGGTGCTCCACTGACATGTTATAACTTTACCAGAGATTTGGAGAGGAGGATAGTTGAAATTGAAATGGAACTGACTTTAGCTAAGAGTCAAGGTTACCTTAGGAACCAGTTGTCGAAAAGTGGTTCCTCTTCAAGCAGTAAACTTCTTGCTGTTATTGGCGTGTACACTGGTTTTGGAAGTCGATTGAGACGAAGTGTGTTCAGAGCATCCTGGATGCCAAACGGTTTGTAAAACATACAATAAATTCTGTGTTTGGTCATGATTTCTGCACCTAGTTCTTCCTTGAAATTTCATTTCTCGCCATTAGATCGGGGCGGGGGGGGGGGGGGGGGGGGTAAAATCTGAGGCAATTGCTGGCCGTATGGGAATAATAGTTTAGTGCTTGTTGACTAATTGATGTGCTCTATTGCAATTAGAGCTCGTGAGAACGGTAAGTTCTGTAACATTAAAATAATCACTGCATCATATCTTACCATGAGAATGATCCAGTCCGTTAAGACTTCAGAGTTCTATGATGGTTGTAGTTTGTGAAGTATGAAGCCCATTAAACACTTTTTTAATTTTCATATTTTTTATCAATTTATATCATCCATTTCCATCGTAATCTTTTTTAAAATAACACACACAACACACTCATTTGCTATGTGTCCCAAAGTGATTTTGCACATGGCAGTATGCTTTTTTTGTTGCATGCAGTTATTTTTTATTTTAGGGAAATTTATAGTTTGTTCTTTTTGCAATGACACCTCTATCTCCAAATTCGTCAATTTGGTGAAATGTAGTCTCTCATCTGTTCAGCACATAATTCTATTTTCCTTGAAGCCAATTGAGATCCTTTTGAAATTTTACTAATCCCAAACCCTGAGGGAAAGCGGTATCACATTTGTATATGACTTGGGGGACTAATTTGACTGAATATCTCCAAATTGATAAAGGACTAAATTGCAAAAGGCAGAACAGTTAAGAATTGTAGTAGTGATTTTCCATTTACTTAATACGTAGTATCAAACAAAAAAATGATTATTGCTCCATAGGAATGAGTCATTGAGCTTCACATATAATTCTTGCTCTGTTCTAAAAATCGTTCTAGGCGCCCGATTAGTCCCCGCCTAGGCGCTAGGCGGTGGTCGGGCGCCCCGATTTTCGTCTAGGCGCTCCGACTAATTGGTTTGCCGTCTAAGTGAATTAGTCGGCCGCCTATGGCGCCTAGTTGCCCGCCTAGAGCGCCTAATCGGCCGCCTAGACCGTCTAGATTCACCGAACATTACTTCACTTTTTAATTTTAATTTCCTAAGCGATATACATACTCTAACTTTAGCCATGGATATAAAGAAATGAAGTTGTAAATTAAGATAAAACTATATAGTTTGTATATATACCTAAATTTTATCATTATTTATATTTTTAACATAATGAAGTTAAGTGATTAATTATCATATATTACGTATGATTAAATGTGATAATTCTATCATTCATGTTTGTTAATGTATAAGTATATATGTATTCTATAAACACAAAAATACAAAACTACTTATCATATTTATGCAAAAATATAGATAAGAATGCAATTCCTATGTCTCCGACTAGTCCCCGCCTAGGCGCCCGCCTAGCCGCCTAGGCGCTAGGCGTTGGGCTGGCGCCTGACTAGCGCCTAGCGCCTTTTAGAACATTGAATTCTTGTAATGCCCTTCTGGTTATAGTGTGTATTTCTTCCTGCCAGTAGCCTTGATTAGTCTTATAACACTTTCTACCTTGTGGTTAAATCATAACGGACGCCACTATCATGGAGTCATGGGCATCATCTGCATCATAATATAAGACCATTGCTTTACCGATTTTTCATTTTCCCCATTCGTTTCATAAAACTATGTGTTACACATGAATACATGTAAATATGACAATTTAAAGAAATGACTTTGCGGCACTTAAAAAATGACAATTAAATATGACAATTAAAAAATGGAAATCTTCCGACCCCCCTTACCCCACCGTAGGTGGGAGCCTTTGCGGCACTGGGGTAATGATGATGATGATGACTTAAAATGGAAATCTTGAAAAACTAGAATTATAATGGCTTGCATACAGATGTTGCTTTCCTATTGAATTAAGTTCACTCTTTTCTAATTATATTACCATATTTTGAATGGTGGTATGTGGTAGATGCTCTGAATTTGTTTGTTTTCTCTGTCAGGTGATGCTTTGGCGAAACTTGAGGAAAGAGGTGTCGTCATAAGATTTGTAGTTGGTCGAAGGTCTTCCTTTGCACGTATATGCCTTTTTATAATGCTGTTTGCAACACTAGTGCAGTTGCCATATCCAGGACCCATTATTTTTTGAATTTGGGGTGGTCCAAAAAACAATTTGATTCATACTTTATTTTACATAAAACACTTTATAAATGATGTTATTCACTGAACTTCGGGTGGACCCTGGACCGGGTTGGCCCCTTTACTTGCACCCCTGTAGATTACTTATTTACTTCTGAGTAAAACTGAAACCATATAGATGTCTTGAATTTTGCAGTCCTAATAGAGGTGATAGCCTAGACCGTAATATTGATGAAGAAAATCAGATGTCAAAGGATTTCTTGGTTCTTGTAAGTTCATATACTTCTCTGTTTTGTAAATGGTCCTTTTTGATGGCAATGCAGTTTTCAAGTTAAATCTTCACACATTTTTATACGTTCTTACTAAAGTTGTTGTTTGTCACTGATATAGTTATGATACTGACATATAGTTAATAAATACTTCATACAAAGCATTATACTTCCTCTGTATTTTTATTATTTGTCTCTATTGGTTTTTCACGGAGACTAAGAAGAAAATAGTAGGGGTAGTGAAAAGTGTAGAAAATGTGTAAACAGCGTGAGAGAGTAAATGAAAAAGTATGAAAGAGAATGAAAAAGTAAGATCAAAGTTATTAAAAAGGGAAATAAAACAAAAATAAAAATACTTCTCAAAGAGGATATGGAACAGATAATAAAATAGGGAGGAGGGAGTATTGTAATGATGGGTAAATGAACAATTCCTTAGCTTATACACTTTTCTTATTTGTAAATGGCCTTTTTTTTGGTGGCAATGCAGTTTTCAGTTCCACTCCTCACACATTTTTATATGTTTTTACTTTAGTTGTTTCTGTCTGAGGGGATCTTTACTTTCAACTTAAGTGACTTAATGAGAACAGTGATTTAGTCATCAAGTCATGTTTACTAATGACTTAATTGAAAGCGTGACTTCATCATTCAATAAAAAAACTGACTTAATCAGTAAGCTGGAATGTAATAGTCCTTTCCATTCAGACACCTATTAAGACATTTTTTCTAATCAAATTTTTATATCAATTATGGAATAGATTTATTTATGTTAATAAATGAAACTTCTCATATACAAATACCACTTAATCCTGGCAGACATCTTAATCTAGACACACATCTTAATCCAAATAGGACTTAATAGAAAAAAAGTAAACAACCCATACAGTTATGACACTCACATACAATTAAATGGTTAATATAAACAAAAGTATTATACTTCCTTTTTAATTTAGTATTTGTTACTATAGGGTTTTAGTGGAGATTGAGATGAAAACACTGGTATTAGTGAAAATTGTAGCAAAAGTGTAAAAAGTATGAGAGAGTAGATGAAGTATGAAAAAGAAAAGGGAAAACTGTCAAATAAGTCCCTGTACTATATTAAAAAAGTCAATTAAGTCCTCATACTATTCAATCAGTCAATTGAATCCTCCAACTCGCAAAAAACATTCAAATCATCCTTTTAGCCGGTCAGCTACCGGTATTCAAGTTAATATGCACACATGGCATCCAAGTGCACCCACGTGGCTACTTTTACTTTTTTTTCCTTCTATTTTCTATTTCCTTTTCTTTCATTTTCTTTCTCCCTCGTGCTTTCTTCGTCCATCTTCAATTCTCTTGGGCCTCTTCCCCTGCTACTGCTTGAGAGTTGAGACCCACGTGCTCTGAGCTTCAACTTCGTTTTTCTTACCACTTTTTATTTTTGTTCTTTCTTTTATTATATAACTTTATCTCCCCAGTCCCCTCCTCCCTGATTGGGCGCTAGCAACTCGCAGATCTTCGACGCCGGCAGCGGACGCCGGCAAAGGACACCGCAGTGGACTCCGGCAACACATGCGGCTATGTAGATGTTAAGTTCCAGCTAATCCCTTCGCTACAAGAGATGCTCTTCATCGACATTCATGTATCTGGAGTCCAAAGAGATTAGGAGAGCTAGTTAGAGGTCTTTGGTACCAAATAAGACAAAGAGAAACAAAAGGAAAGAGAGTGGAAGAAGTCCTGGGTCCAAAGAAGAGAAGGAAAACCGAAAGAGAAGAACTAAGGGAGAAGGGGAAGCAAAGAAAAGGGATAAAATTAATGAAATTGGGGGTGGGTGGTGATTGTTGACAAGGACGGCGAACTCGCCGGGAAACATGGAGCTAGGGAGTAAGGAGGTGGTACAACCGCACAACCAGGCTAACAGGGAGAAGGGAACGGAAAAATGAAAAGAAAAAATGAAAAAAGAAAAGAAAAATAAAGTTAGTGTCATGTAGATGTCCAGATCAGCAGCTACCGGGATTAATTATCATCAACCGGCTAGAAAGTAAAATTGATTTTTTTTTATAGTCAGAGGATGCAATTGGATGATTTTATAGTAGGACTCAATTGACTTTTTACGTATAGTAGGAGGACTTATTTGACAATTTTCCCAAAAGAAAATGAAAAAGTATGGTCAAAGTTACCAAAAAGGGATATAGAACTAATAATAAAATACTTCCATAAAGTAATGCGGAACAAATAATAAAACAGGGACAGAGTATTGTAATTTTGGATATGATTCATATGATTAGTTCCATAGTGCAAACTGCTAATAGATTTTCATCTTATGGGTTACTCAAATTCAGCTGCAAAACATTTACCTATTTCTTTTTCATTATATTTATTGTTATAGCACATGATATTCATGAAATCTGCCACCTTTTTTTAAATTCAGTTCTCTACTTATTTCATAGGAAGGACATGAAGAGGCTCAAGAGGAGTTACCCAAGAAAGCTAAATTTTTCTTCAGTACAGCAGTTCAGAATTGGGATGCCGAGTTTTACGTAAAAGTTGATGACAACATTGATCTCGATCTGGGTAGATGTTTTGGCTTAATGTTAATGCAAACAATACTTGAAAACTATAAAAATTTTGCATGCTAGAGCTGATTGAACTCCTTAAGATTCCTAGGATCTTGAATTCTCAGGATTTAATATTTGGAACTTATTTGCTCTAATTTTTTTCAGATGGGCTGATTGAACTTCTTAAGAGCCGCCGTGATCAAGGCAGTTCTTATATTGGATGCATGAAGTCCGGTGAAGTTGTTTCTGAAGAGTAGGTATTCTACTTTTTAATTTTGAAGGACGTGCCATTACATTCTTTTCTCGTTATTTAAAATATCCAACATTTGCCATGGCACCAGGGGGAAAGCGTGGTATGAGCCAGAATGGTGGAAATTTGGTGATGAAAAAACGTAAGAATACTTTTAGGGTTGTCATAGAAATTATTGTTTCTGACTTACCCTATATAAGTAGTATTTACTTCGATATAAGTCACCTGGAAACTAAAAAACGGTAGTATATTGCATCTACCTTTTCCAGTGTCCCCCAACCCGTAAATCTCTCACTTGTTCAGGTACTTCCGCCATGCATCTGGTTCACTTTTCATTCTCACAAAAGATATGGCTCAGTATATCAACATTAACAGGTTAGTTTTCGTAGATGCATTCATGCATCAACTCTAAACTATTATCTTAATTCTATTGAAATACACGTCATTTTGATTTTTCAGTATATTGATACTTCTTGTTGTCCCCTCAAATTTTAGGTATCATATTATATTAACCTCCCAAGTACCTATAATGGAATATAATATGGGAGTGAATCCTTTGCGTTTCATGAATGCCACTGGAAGATGCCTTTCTGGAACACCTGAAATAATAATAAAAATATAAAATTGTATAGAAATAGATGCTTTGACTAAACATATACTCCCTCTGTCGCATAAAATTCTTCCCGGTTTGACTTAGATCGGAGTTTAAGAAAGTGGGAATAAAGTGGAAATGTGTGGTTGTGGTTGAGTTAGAAAAAGGTAAATGAATGTTAGCCACACAATACTTTCCAAAAAGAGAAATGGGAAGAATTCTTTGGGACGTCTCAAAAAAGTAAGTGTGAAAAATTTTAGGGGACAGAGGGAGTAATTATTTTGTAGTCTAGGTCCTCTAGGATTAAAGACTAGAGGTAAAATATTAAAAAAATCAACCGCCTCTACAAAATCTGCCAACCAATTAAACCCTTTAAAAGCAATGTGATGAGAAATCAATGGGCTATGTGGAATTCCAGCGGTGAGGGATCAAAAGCGGAGTTAGTTTTTAGTATATTAATGTATCATCACATATTCACATGTTTGAAACCCAACTTTAAGTATCTGCTATTATTGTATATGTGTTCAAGATAACATTGTTACATTTTTTTCAATTTTACCCTTCTACTCAAAATACTTTAGTGCATTATTTGAATTGAAATCCTATACCCCTCTTTCCCTATTCCATCAGGGGTGCCACTCATTCGATTATGATAAGGGGTGTTTATGAGAAGGAAATACGAAAAGCGCTGCTAAGTGTGCAATGAGAGTAATAATGATTGAATGTTTTATTTAATGTTGTGATCTTTTAATTTTTTTCGAGACCTTAAACTGACCGCTCTTGAGAAATTTGTTGCTGCACACTATGAATAGTTTTTCAAAAGTCAGTTGAAAGACAAATGTTAAGGACGTTAATTTAATTATTTGACAGATTTGTATCCTTCTATCATGCACATGCATTCAGCATCAGACAAATAATTGTTCATTTTTTGTTGTTACTCAGTGCATCACTGAAGGCTTATGCTCACGATGATATATCAGTGGGGTCATGGATGATGGGCCTTCAAACAACATATATTGATGATAGTCGCCTATGCTGTAGCTCTCCAACACAAGGTAAATATGCTTTCATCTTCTCCATACTAAGGTAGCGGATAAAAATACTGTGGACAAAATTTATCAAGTTTCTTTTGATCCAACTGCTGTGGGTGGGAGAGCGCTATTGTATAGGTGTGAAGTTATGTTTTGTATGAAGTAGTATTTCATTTTAAACTGGGTGATTGAGGTTGCATTCTCTTAATCATAACATTTTTAACTTAGTACATTAACTTATAATAAACGAACCAGACCAGGAAGAAATTTTCAGATTAGATGAGAAAAATTTATCTCAGACTACATAAAGATTCGGATGAGACCAGAAGAATTCAAACCTAATGAGATTTTATATTTCAGACAAGATTTGAATCATTCAAATCAGAAAGGCCAGACTGGACAAAATATTCACTGCAGATCAGAAATATTTGACCAAAACAGAAAGATCCTGCCAGACATTAAATTTTTTAGATTGGATAACATTATCTATGGTGATGAGACGTCTTAAATAGGGGTAAACCTGGAAATAAAAAATTGAATGCATTTTCAAGCTGTGCATATGAAAGCTAATTAGTTCAGAACTCATTTTTTGTTTGTTTTTTGCTTTTATGCAGATAAGGTATGCTCCATGGCTTAATAACGCAAAGCAGATGTGCTGCAATGACAGGGCGCTGTGACACTGCACAATTCTTTCCCTATTTGTTACGTACTCTTAGTAAATGGTACATTTATATATTGTAGAAAATATGCATCATATAACCCTTCAATTACATCCAAGATAATTTTTATTTCATCGTTATAATTATGACATTCCAAGAAGCTTTTGGTAGTCTTATACTCAACTCAAAACCGTGTATTAATATGGTATGGACGGGGAGATAATAGGTGTGAATAGGTGTGGACCCGGTCCGGCACTGTTTGGGACCGGACTGGGTCTGGAAAATCAAGTTTGGTCTCGGGAATGGCCCGAGTCTGCCCAAACATGATACTCGGTCCCGATTCAACCATTTCGGGACTGAACCGGGGGGTTTTGGGCACATACCAGTTTTTTTAGGATTGCAAAAGGGAAAAAATAGAATGGGAACGGGTTTGGACCTGGGCTTCGCTTGCCAAAGATCGGGACTGGCTGGTCCGGGAGCGGATATGGGATAGGGTCCACTCCTAGGTGTGATAGCAAATTAAAAAAATGATGGTGGAATATATATATTTCCCAATAGTAACAATAAGTTGATGATGCTTGGCAACAGTAAAGTGGTGTGTTAAATAAATTTAATACTTAAACTAATACAATAGTATAATGAAGTAGAGTTCGTACATGGAGGAAAACATGTTTTTCGCACGTGTGTAAGCATAAGAAATCAAAGTAAACGGAAGGAGGTTTGGATATTGTGATAATTGCCAAAAAAAACACTAAGATGAATGATTTAAAATAGCAAAGGTGACCAACCTTGGTTTTGCTATTTTTCACTTGGTAAAATGCTCGTTGATGAAAGACAACGAGACATTTATTAATGAGACACGTCCCTCAATTATCTTTACTTTTAGTCAATATAAAATAAGCGTCATATGTTGATCTTAACAGTAGCATTCGATCGATTTAATGAAATTAATTAAGAATGATAACTTGTAATCCGGGATGAGTATTCTTGACTGCCATTGCGGGAATCTCAAGTCCAGTTATTGTATTTAATTCATTCATTGGTCATATAATGAAATCAATTAAGATTGATATTTCTACACAAACGGTTTTGATTTAATTCTAGTTTAGATTAATAATCATGAGACCCATGCATTAGTAATCTTTCATTATCTCTAAAGAAGCTTCCTTTTGTACCAAGCTTCTTCCTTATGCTTCCAAGCGATTTCGTTTTGCTATTCCACCATGTTTTTTTTGCACCATGTTTCTTGCTTATATGTTGATTCCCTTAATATCTTCTAATTCTAGTCTTATGTGCAGAAACTAAGTAAACACTATGTAAATCCATTCTGAAATTTGTTCTTTATGCACTAATTAATAACACGTATCAAATACCACATGCTTAACGTTTTACTCATCCACGAGTAAAATGCAATTCAAATTCAATGCTTAGATGCACTTGGGGTCTTGGGGTCAAATTTCTTCTCATTGCTTAGCTTTTTGTGCTAGTTCCCGGTCTCCTTTGAAGATTTCTTAGAAGCTCTCTGAAAACACCTAGTTGAGTATGACCTGTACTCAGTCGGTTATCCGGTTGCTTGAACTCAAACACGAATTTTTCTCCTGCAAAAATTTAAAAATTTTATCGTTTTCTCTTATTTTGCCGAGGTGCCATTTTCAGGCTTTCAACATAACTGGCTTTCTTTCTTCTTTTCATCGTTTGTTTCATTTTTTTTCAAAGTTCTGAGAATTTATAAACAAGATTACAAAACATGAAAGTAGATAAAATACCGTATGCACAATGAGTTTACAAGATATTCACAATCCTCACATGCTTAATATGAGCATTGTTTGTAGTGTTTTCTTAACATCATCATCGTGGTAAACTTGGCTTGATCTATTCATTTGCATTTCCTTTAGTGTGATTGGTTAATTTCTTCCGTGTCCTTCAGTGGAGAATTGGAAACATTCATAAAATGGGATTTTAGAAGTGGAGTTTGGTTGAGGATATGAGGGGTTGTAACACACTAACACCCCAATCCCGTGGGGCCCGATGTAGTTCTAGATGCACGCCAGACCCTTATAATGTCCTCACAAACCAACACAAGCCTTTAATCTCAATCAAACCCCTGAATGCTCCCCTGCTAAGTGCTCGCTCAACATTCAACGGATCAGTACACTGTCACAACGTTGCCGCGGGGCCCGATGTTGTTACTCCTTGATACGTGTAACACAAGGTTGTCACGGGGCCCGATGTAGTTACTCCTAGATACACGTCATGCCTCTAGTAATGTCCTCACAAACCAACACAAGCCTTGACTGCACACTTTGTCCCCCCCTCATGCGCGCCCTGAGAAACTTCCCAGTGGTCACTTATCCTAAGACTACTCCCATGCAAGCACGCTTAACTTCGAGTTCTTAGCAGATGTACCTTGTTGGTATGCGTAGTACTAATAATGCAATTAAATTAATCTCAAGTATTACAAGGGTAAATGAAAATGAGGTCATGTAGAGGATGATGGTTACTTTTAGTGAGCATGGGGTATTTGAGTGCTATAACGTCACCTTTCTTCTGTGACTGTCCATCGCTTCGTGTGCTTTCAGTATCTCTTGACATGATGGAGTATCAACCTGATAGGCTCGTTCCGTTCCTATCTTTTCACCCATATTTTGGGTGTTAATTGTCTAATTTTTATAATTAATTGGGTGACTATTGGATGTTTTGAATGAAAATTTGCTATTTTTCGGTCCCAGTGGCATCTATTGTCAGTGCAATATTTTTGTACACAATGTGACATTTTCGGAGTAATTTGATTGTAAAATATCATATTATTAGCGGGTGTGGTAAGTTGTGGTTGTACAGGCCGAATTTGCGGTGGGTACACATTTTTATTGAGGCTGGACAATTTGAGGGGCTCTTGAAATATATTAGGCGCAGCAGCCCATCAAAAGAAAAAAACTGCAGCAGCTCGTTTATAGACTAGCAGCCCAAAACGAAAAAAAATACAGCTGGGTTTTTATTCCCAGGAACCAGCAGTCCAATTGGCCATATTCCATTCTTTCTGTTCGTAGTTAAGGCAGCCGCGGGAGCAACTTCCAGTCCATTCATTCTCCTCTAAGCACTTAGCAGCAGTTCATGAGTTCATTTTTTTCCTTCTCTTCTGAATTAGCCGCAGCAGCAATCATAGCAGTAAGAAACAGACCTAAGGAGTTCTATGCTTCACTTTTCTTTCAATTCATTCCAATCTAGTTTAGATTTCAGCAAGTATTGTAAGTTCAATTATCTTTTACATTACTAGTTCTAGCTTTTGGATTGAATTTCGAATTTATTTGTCTCCAACTAATAATTTCAGAATTTTTCCATCTTTCTTTGATATAATTCAGTTTTTATTTCTAGCTCATTATCATGTTTATCAATATTATTGTGATGTTAGTTTTAATTATGAGTAGCTAATTCCACATAGGGTTTGAATTGTGGCTAGGGTTCATGGGTTCTTGAGGGTGTGAATTTAGTTTTTTTTAAATCAATTAATTTTCTGGATAATTGTATAAGATTAATCATAATTGTCTATATGAATTTGATCACCTCATATATGAATTTCTGAATTTAATTCAATTCTTGTCTATGAGAAATTGAGTTAAATTAGCTCAGGTCTTATACAAGCAATCTGATCTTAGAAATAAGTTAGGATTGTGAAAATTTGATTTAATTCTTGTCTATGAGAATTTATTTCATTTTCTTTCCAGGAACAATTGAAAATTAATTTACTTAATTCTAATCCCGAAAGAACACCCAGAACCCGAACCATCCAATTTGAACCCTGTTTTAATATCCCGAATCAATTTAATTTAATTTTTTTCTCTATTTATTTTTGCACTCACTATTAGTTAGTTTTATTTTTAAACCACTCAAAAAATATTTATTCGGAAAGATTACCATGACTTGTGCTAGCCTGTGATCACGGACTGTATTTAAAACTTCCTTTTTGCCACTCCTTGAGAGACGATACTCGTGGTCTGGTTATTCTTCAGATTAGCCAACTACGTTTTACTCACTAAAAAATTACACCGACCACAACCTTACTCTGATACCAAATGTTGGATAATCTTCACCTCTTTTCTCTCATACTTTAGAAAAAATGGAAGTAACAACACATGAATATTACATATGAATGTTTGCAAATGTGTGTAAGATATGCAAAGTTCTTTATTGCATTATAGAAGGGGAAAAATCCAGTTACATCAGATACAAAAAACCCCAACACACACACGCCTAATATATATACCAAACTGGTATAAACAGTAACCACCAAACCATGATACAAAACTGCCTCCCACTTCCCTTGTTTTTCGTTTGCATGCAGGAGGAAACAATTGCGTTACATGCACACAACTAAAAACACATAAGAAAACACAACAAATAAATAAAATAAACTCTTAGACATAAACAACTGTAAAAAGATAAGTTTAACTTCCACATTCTCCCGTTTAAACTTCTTCACTTCTGGACAACCCTTACTCCAATATTATCTCGTAGCTCATTGAACCTTTGCTTTCCAAGAGGCTTAGTTAGGATATCAGCTAGTTGATCATTAGTTCTTGTATACTCAAGTTCCATTGCATTCTGTTCAATACACTCACGTATGCAATGAAACTTGGTATCTATATTTTTGCTTCTTTCATGATAAACTGGATTCTTATTTAGGGCAATTGCTGACTTATTATCAATCTTCAGCACTGGAGTTTCCTGATCTTTTTCTCTCAAACATTCCATCAGTTTTGTGAGCCAAATTCCTTGGCATGCTGCACCAGGTGCTGCTATATTATTACGTATATATTAGTTAAGATCACACAGGGGATATATAGGTAGAACCAGTTCTTAATTTTTACTTTTTAATACTTTAATAATTTAAATTAATATTGTAATGTGTTTATAACCGGCTTATGACTACAATGCTTAGTTGGCGCAAATTATACCCTGCAACCGGCGCACCATGAGGATGGTGTGCCGGTTGCAAAATCGCGATCATCCCCCTCCCCAATCACGTGCACGTAAACCATCAACACTCTCCCCGCCCCCAGCCACCTTCCATTACCATCTGGCCGCCCCAGCCCCCAGCCCCTCTCTCATCCTTAGCCTGCATAATTGCCCAACACCATCCCATAACCACAACTCCTGTGCAGCCCCTGCAGCTGCCACATCAGACCACCACAACC